ACAAAACTCTCCTACTTCAGTTTAAAGAAGTTAAACAAACACATTAAAGTGCATAAAGATTAAAGTTCCAATTTTTTCCAATACCAATGTTGTTTATAGAATTGAATGTGCAGACTGTAATGCATCATATGTGGCCAAACTGGACGTAAATTAAGTACTAGGATTTCGGAACATAAACTTGACATTAATAAGAATACAACGAATAAATCTGTTATAACTAACCATAGGTTCAATTTCAACCACGAATTTAAATGGAATGAAATAAAAATTCTTGATAAAGAAAATTTCTTCGAAAAAAGATTAATCTCTTAGATGATTTATATTAAAAGACAAACAAATAGTTTGAACTTGCAAATAAACACAGAATGTTTACCTGATACATATATAAACAGTATTGATAAACTACCGAAATTCTGAAAATAGATACACAAATATAATAAGTTAACACCGCTCATTTTCACCTTTCGATCACTTTGTCTGTGACATTGTAAGTGTGTGGATCTCAGGAATCGATGTTTCTCCTACACTACTGTTTTACGTTGCAATCTAATTATATGTAAGTCTATAAACACCTTCGTTTTCGTACAACCTATTAAGCTTAAATAAATCAATAACTATTTAATAACGTTATAGGATTCAAATCATTATGTGTCTATCGAGTCTAATAACCGGAGTAGAAACACAATTAACGAATTTTAACTATCACATTATGACTATGTTGGAGGAATATCGCTTTTCATTTTTACATAATGTTCTCTTTTTCTCTTACCATAATATTTGTTAATCATTATATCTATCATTGTATTTTTAATGCGTTACATACTCTATGACGTTTTTGATTATGCTTGATGTATATGTTACCGTTATGACTCCGTTTATTAGTTTTTAAATTCAGAATTTAATCAGCGTTGATAATGGTCAAAATATTGACCGAAACGTTCGCTTTGTATTTGTATTTAAAGAGTACTTATGTTTAATTCATTTTTGTCACCTTTTATTGTAATTCATTATTAGACATTAGATTAAAGAATATTATTTTTATATATGACTTCACTTTCAAACATAATTTAAATTTTTATATTTACTGCTCTTAATAGCCTTTTATCAAATTTATTCTAATTTTTTTTGTTAGAATTAAATATCTGTGCACAAGGCACCAAATTTTACTTGGTCACGGCCAAGATTTTAAAATTGAAATAATCTCTACAAGAGATTTAATTCCATACATCCCCTGTTCTTCCCTAAGGAAATAAATGCGAGAGAAAAATATAGATCCGAAAGTTGCTGAATCGAAATCGAACCCGATTCAGCGACTTTCGGATCTATAGATTAGATTAGATATTTCTTTATTGTTCCCAATTTGGGTTACAATTTTCCATACAAAATTTTCTTAAAATTAACCCTACGCCGCACACACATACATCGCCTACTTATCTGCTTTACACTATTTCTTATACCATTATTATCCTATCTTTCTTATACTATTTCTTATCCTACTTGTCTTATGCTACTATTTCTTATATTACTAAATACCGCTTATTGTTTATTTCTATTTTTTGGACCTTCGCTTCCGGTTTATGCTTTGCTTCTTACTCTCTGTTACTTTTCTCTCCCCTCATACTCACCCTTCTCCCTCTCTCTCTCACTCACACTCCTCTCTCTCTCTCATTCTCTCTCTCTCACCTTCTTCTTCTCCTTCCCTCTCCCTTTCTTTCACCTCCCTCTCTCTTTCCTCCCTTCTTCACCCTTCCATCTCTAACAGCCATTCTTCTCCTTCTCCCTCTTTCCCCAGAATTTTCTCCATCTTTTCCTGCCAGCTCTCCCTGTTCCCCTCTTCTCCCCTTCTGCACCTTTCTATCACATGCTCCCATGTCTCCTCCTCTCCTCCACATACTCTGCATTTTCTTTTTTCTTCCTCCTCCCAATAGTTGCTCTCTTTTAATTCATTCCCTAACCTATATCTTGCTAGTCTCCTCCATCTCTCTTCCGACCATCCTTTCTTTAGGTATTTTGGGATTCCTTCTCCTTTTATCATCTTGTACCATTTATTGTATTTAGATTCCCTTATCTTCTGCCATCTTTCTCTTCTTTGTATTTCCTTTTCTTTTCCTTCTACTACCTTAAACTCTACCATTCCCTCTTTTCTCTTCCATGCTATCCCCTCTTTCCAAGCACCTCTCTCTTTGAAGAAGCTTTTTCTTTCTTTTTCCCATTCTGTTAGCCTCCTGTCCTCCTCTGCTCTCTTTTTTATCTCTTCTAAGCATCTTTTGGCTAGCCCCCCTCCTTTTTCCTTCTTCTAATCTTTTTTCAAAATTCCATGCTCTTCTTGCTGCCCTTTCTCTTAGTTTATCTCTTTGCATTTCCTCTCTTACTAGGTATTCTGGTGTTCTCCAGTCTACTCCTATCACCCATCTCAAGTATCTTTCTTCTATCTTTTCTATCTCCTTTCTGTTCCCCCATCCCCATATTTCCGCTCCGTATCCCAACACCGTCCAGATCAATGTGTCGAACAGCCATATTCGTCTCTTTATATTCCTTCCGAATTTCCTTTTTCCAATCCTCCATACGCTTCCTGCAACTCCCATTGCCTTTCTGATTCTGTCCTTTATGTGCTCTTCCTGTTTGCCGTTTCTCTGTAGTGTGTATCCTAAGTATTTGAACGCTTTTACTTCTTCTATCTTTTTTCCTTCTCATCTCCAACTTGTTTTCTTACTTCTGGCCCCCTCCCTTTTTAAATCCATTACTTCGTTTTATCCGTATTCAATTCTAGTTTCTTTTTTCCCATATATTGTTCCATTTTTCCTAACATTGCCCTCATTTCTTGTTCCTCTCTGCTAGAATCACTACGTCATCTGCGTACGCTAACGAGTATATTTTGTTCTTTCCTAGTTTTACTCCTCCCCATCCCCCTTTTCTCAATTCTTCCTCCAGGTCAGCCATTAGTAGGTTGAACAGCATCGGGCTCAGCGGGCATCCCTGTCTTATCCCTTTTGCCATCCAAAATTCCTTCCCTATTTTTCCCCTACTTTTACCCCACTTCTTGTTTCTCTTAATACTTCCTCTATTCTTTCTATTAAATCCTCTCCTATTTCTCTTTCCTTCAATGCTTTTATTAGCGTTTTTCTGTCTACAGAGTCGAACGCCGCCTTCAAATCCACAAAGCATGCTATCAATTTTCCTTTTTGTTTTCCAAGCTGTTTTTGTACTAGATAGTTTAATACGTATACATTGTCCATCACTCCTTTTCCCTTCCTGAATCCCATCTGGTTCTCCGGTAGCTTTCCCTTTCTTTCGACCTCTTCTGTTAACCTGTCTGTTATTATTGATACGTATATTTTATATAGTGTCGGCATCAGTGTCACTCCTCTGTAATCTTCTACTTTTTTTCCTTCTCCTTTTTCCTTATCGGCACGATTACTCCATCCTTCCACCCTTCTGGCCATCCTTCTCCTCTCCATACTCTCTCGCATATTCCTCTTACCCACTTTTCTATTTCTTCCCCTCCATATTTCCAGACTTCATTTGGAATTCCATCTTTTCCCATTGCTTTGTTGTCTTTCATTTTGCTTATCACCTTTCTCACCTCCTCTTTTCCTATTTCTCTCTTCCTTCTTCCTTTCTTCCTTCTTTCCTGCCCCATTTATAACCTTCTGCTCCACTCCTCCTAGGATATTCATAAAATATTCCCTCCATTCTCTTCTTCTATCTCCTCATTTACTTTCTTTCTTTTCCTCCTTTCTCTATTCACTATTTCCCATACCTGTTTGTCTGTTCTTGCTTCTCCTATTTCCTTATTAATCTTTCCTCTTCTCTTTTTCCTCTCCTCGCATTTTTCCTGAATGCTTTCTTTAGTTCTTTATAATCCTCTTCCTCTCCTTTTCCCTTTCTCCATTTCTTAGGCTTTTTCTCATTGTCTTGTCAATGTAATATTTTATATTTATGTTATTATTAATGTATAGAAACACAATTATTATGTAAAAATAAATATATACTTATTTTACTGATTTACTTAATTCTTCAGCCGCAGATAATAAGAAAGAGGTTATTCCACGGAAAAATATTACACCCGTATTTTTTTAGCTGCGTATCTCGACATTTAGGAGGTAAATTACCCCCTTGAAAAATCGTTTTTTTTTATTTTTTAGCCAATACTGTCGAAACGGTAAAAGATATAAGAAAATGTTTTGAATAAAAATTGGATGGTTTTTAATATTTTTTAAAACAGTGTAATCAAATTTTGCAAAAATGTCAAATCCCTCTCCCTCTCCCTCTTCATACTGCACTATTTTAAAGAATATTAAAATCCATATAACTTTTATTTGAAACATTTTTTTTATACTTTATACCGTTATATCTTATACCGAAATAAAAAAACCAATTTTTTTCAAGGAGGGTTGTTTTATCCTCTAAATGTCAAGATACGCAGTTAAAAAAATACGGGTTTAATATTTTTCAATGCTTCAAAACATATTCCAAGTTCATTAAAATCAGGATCACTTCCAATCGTTCCCTTGTTAGTTTTAACAATATTAGTTCAGTCAGTAATATTGAATTTTTCATTAGCTTTCATGAAATAGGCGTCTACGATTTACCTGCGATGATTACACTTATTACAAATATGAGATCACAATCATTGCACGCGTACATTGGTCATTCTATGGGTGAATCTGTTTTTTACGTAATGGCAACAGAGCGTCCAAAAATTGCTAGAATGGTAAAAATGATGTTCAGTTTTGGACCAGGAATTTTCTTAGATCATATGAGAGGTCCACTACGATCGATGTTTTATTTGGTGAAAAAGATGCAGGTAATAATATGTAAAAATAATATACTACTTTGAGCTAGAATAAAATTAAGTAAATTGCATTTTGAATAGAAGATACCTTTAATTGCAGCCAATATTTCGAGTTTTGTTCCATGACGAATTACTCCCACAAAAAGTTTTTGAAACGGCAATGGCATTAATCGGCTGCAACTCAAATTTCCTTCTATCAGAGATGTGCGCTATTTTCATATTTTCAGTCTTCGGTTACGACCGTGAGCAGTTTACTTACGTGAGTAATAACTGAGTAAGTATTCGTCTGCAAATTATAATAATAAATTTAAAAGGTTTTAATATGCGAATACAAAATCATATCAAACAATTTTCAAACCGTTGAACGAGAATATATCACAGATAAAAAATTAAGAAAACGTTTTGAAGCTTGATCTTTTATTGTGTGTATACACTCACACACACTTACATATATATATATATATATATATATATATATATATATATACATATATATATTTTAATTTGCTGTTTAGACTCAGCTGCCTGTAATCGTGAGTCACATACTTGTCAGTCTTTCGACTAAGACAGTGGTGCACATAACGCAGGAAATCCAATCGGGCAAGTTTCATCGATACGACTACGGTGCCACAAAAATCTCTTAATCTATTCGATAGAACCTCCGGATTATGATTTATCGAGTGTTACGGTGCCGATCGTGATATTCTATGCTAACAACGACTTCCTGGTCGATCCCATTGTAAGTAATATATGTACAAGTATTATAATTTTGTTGTAAAAATATGCATTGATAAAACGAGAATTATTACATAATAAGTTAAAATATAAAATTGAGAAGTTGAAAGAATTATTAATTAGTTTGGAAGAATAATATAAGTAGTTATTAAAAGAATTAATTTAATTATATAAAAGAAATTTGCATAATAACTTAAAAATATTTCTTTAAGAATGTGAAGAGGTTGTATAATTTACTGCCCAACGTAATAGATTTGTACAATGTGCCGCGGCCCAGTTTTAATCACGTGGGCTTTATATGAACCGAGGATGCACCTATACTTGTGTACAAAAGAGTTTTTAAAATCATGAAAAGGAAATATTTAAATAATGTAACAACGATATGATAATAGGTACATTGCGCTGATCTGGATTATGGAAGTTAAATAAATAAATAAATAAATAAATAATAAATAAGTAAGTAAATAAATAATAAATAAATAAATAATAAATAAATAAGTAAATAAATGATAAATAAATAAATAATTTATTTCAGTGATTAAAAGTGCTAAAAACATGGTTGCCTTTTGTATTATATTATTATAATTTTAACAATTTACAGATTTTTATACATATACATTGTATTATATAAATATTATATTTTCATATAATATATAAAAATCTACTAATACAGTCGGACTTCTTATCCTACGACTCTTTTATGCTACGTACCTTTGATATATACTAACCTTTGATCCTGCGACAAAAAGCCTCTCGATCATGTTACGACCGCGGAAGGAGAACCGTATCCCCACTTCTTATACATACATCATGCTCATTCTTATTCATCTTACGCACTTCGCACGATTCGGACATATTCGGAACCCGAATGGACTACAGAGTAAAAATCTCTCTTTTTGTCGTAGAATCAGAGGTTTCTCAGACTGGAAATGTCGTAGGATAAAGGCCGTGGCACATAAAAAAAATGTAAGCAGTAAGATTTAAGACTTAAGAATTTCATCCATATGGAATTCACAGAGCTGCTTAAGTTTCAAAATGGCTGCCTTACTGCTCGACCGTGATTAGTCGATTCGCTTAAGTTCTACTGCTTATACTGCTTACGTTTTTTTATGTGCCACGGCTTTAAGAGGTCCGACTGTACTGTCAAACTGTTCAATCTACTGAACGTTGTCAATAGTGCAGTGCATTCTCTCCAACAATATATACATATATATATATATATATATATATATTTTTGCTATTATTAGCATATCACAAGTTATCGATACAGCATTAATAAGCAATGAACAAAATGTTTGCACTCAGTCTGTATTAATTTTGCTCACTTGTTTTCTGCCTTTTTCAATAATACATATCTCGACCTTCCGGAAAACTCTCTCGATTTGTCCGTTTTTACTATTTAATAGTGTTAATTATGGATAGAATAAGATTGATAGGGTTTATGTATTTGCTGTCGTTTTACGGTTGTATTGATGGAGATGCGACCACCGAGCCAAACAAGTCCATAGAAAGAATAATTCGATCTAAAAGGAACGACGAGCCCAATTCCGATTTAATTCTCAGCACTGTAAGTATACATTTTAATTAAATGAAACGAGGATTAAAGTTTTCATTATTCCAATTAACTGAACTTCTACAACGCTGTCACACATTGAATAAAAACGCGATCATGTACATGGTATCACTTAATTCACGCTTACTAATTTAAGTACATAACGTTATTTCTTACCAAAAATCTATTTTTCTATACGTTTTCTTCTATATTATTTAATAAAGGAATAAATATTGAAAAAATAGAGCAAAAATGCCGAGCTTTAGCATATGTAGATGTACTTATAGTGGGCGCGAATTAAGTGACACCCTGTATACCGCTTTTGCCGCTTATATTGTTCACAATCAAAATCAAAATTTCCCAAAATTTCATGTACATCATCGTTAAGTAAGTAATCTTTAAAAATTATTATTGTTTTTTAGAACACACACACACACATGGTGTTTTACAAGTTTTGCATAAAACATTTTTCGAAACTAGTACTATATGCAATAAATAACAAATGTTCATTTTTAAGACTGTTTTTGTTATCACGATTAATAATATTTCAAATAATATACTGATAAAGAACATCCCATTAAGTATATTCTTGCATGTTACAAATATCTAATTAAAAAATATTTCTTTAGAGAATTTTTCTCTTAAATTAAGAGGATCCTTTTGACAGATATGTACAGATTTTTCTATGAATAAATTCTAAAATAAACGTAAAATATTTAAATAACATTTTTATTTATGACAGATCGCTGCCCTGCAATTGCATGTTTAACTGTAAAATGTAACGTATTTCCAAACTTATGGAAGGTACTGTATATGCAAATTGTAAACGTGAGAAGCAGTTTTTAATTCATTAAATACCTATTGACATATATGAATAATGATATGTTAAAGAAAATCTCCATATTTTTTTTTAAACGCAATTACACGTGTGTTATCTTTTTACAGCAGATGATTTCTCTCATTATGTTGTGCATAAAATTAGTGGAATAAGATAATTAGAAAATAAATGTTTTACTAGATATTTTTCAGAGTTTAAATAAAATTTATATCGAATTAAAGTATAAAATATCTTGTGAATTATATATTTTTTAATTCTATTCTTTTAATTTTTAGACAGAATATTATGAGAAATCGATTTAAAAATATATTAAAAATATATTATTTTAAAAATTCAAGATTATTTTATCTGCACTTGGTAATACTATATCTAAAGTGTCCAAATGTTGACATCAGTAAATAAATGTTTTTAAACTACAATTTCTATCTAAAACATTTTTATAAAATGTATTTTTCCAAGACCAGGGTCTCGATCTTTGTCAATGATGAATTGAACACTTTGTACTGTACGTAATGATTGCACGCAACTGCTATACTTCCAATAGCTACTTATACGAGTACATTCATATTGCAATGCTGCTTATCATAATAATATTACCTTCATGAATTCCTTTAGAAGAAAAATATACATATATACAGAATGATTCAAAAATACAAGTGTAAAAACTTTGAAAAATTGTTTATGAAATATCATGCTAAGTACATATAATTTTATAATAAACATATATAGATTCTATCTTTAATGTAGAAAGTATAGATGTTTCAAAATCTTGTCACACTCCTAGTAAGCCACGTAGAACGTGACCTTGAGAAATCAAAATATAACATCATTATTTATTTAAAGATTAATTTGATCGATAAATATTTAAAAAGTGTTTAAATATTATTAATTTTTTTGGTTTTTATATAAATGTTACACAGATCGAATTTTCATAGGTTTTAATGAGTAGCCAGGGATTAAATTATATAACAAAAGTGTTTTTGTTATTTTATATTATATTATACTCTCATTTTAGTGATTCTTCTTTCAGCCAGAGATAATAAAGAAAACGGGTTATCCCACGGAAACTCACGTTGTAACAACAGAAGATGGCTACATTTTGACATTACATCGTATCCCAGGTGGCAACAGCTCTCTACCTGTATTACTGGTACACGGTACTTTTTGCGATGACACTATTTGGATCGCTCTTGGCAAAGGCAAAGCACTCGGTACGACTTTTTATTTAATCATCGAAAGATATACTAACAATGTCGATCAGATCACATCGTTAATTTTACTTTTAATGAAAAATATCTAAGAAAAAATATTAAATAAAATGAAGAAACAAAAATATTTTAATGTATTTTTAAGTGAGTTACATTTTTAGTTTATCTTATTTTTTGAAATTTTTGAAATTTAAAAGTTGAATTTCTAAAATTTGTTACATGACAGGTGTATATATGTATATTTTATATATTTACATAATTTACATATATGATTATATATATTTAGAACTGTAATAAGTGAATTATGAATCAGATTACGGTCTTAATATCTTGTTATAAAAATATTTCTACGTAAAAATATGGTAAGAAATATAAAATATAAGAAAACAGATGCAAATAAAACATTGCAAATATTTTTTTTCATTTTGTGTTCTAGCTTATTTATTAGCGGACCAAGGGTACGATGTTTGGTTGGCTAATGTGCGTGGTACTCCTTATTCGAAAAAGCACGTTTCCCTATCACCGTCAGATTGGAAATATTGGGATTTTAGGTTTTCTCATAAAATAAAAAATAATAATTTTTTGAAAAAATAAATAATTTTTCTTTTGGCAAAATTTATAAATGCAGATTATATACAGAAGTATATATACATACTTGTGTGTATATATTTAAATATTTCATGATAATATATGTATTTTCTATCAGCTTTCATGAAGAAGGCATCTATGATTTACCCGCAATGATTACATATATCACGGATATGAGATCACAACCATTGCACGCGTACATTGGTCATTCTAAGGGCACATCTGCATTTTACATAATGGCAATACATCGTCCAAAAATTGCTAGAATGATAAAAATGATGATCAATACCGGTCCAGCAGTTTTCGTAGATCATATGAAAAGTCCACTACGACCAATACTTTATTTGATAAAAGAGTTTCAGGTAACAATATAATATATGTAAGAATACTATTAAAAAATAAATCATATTGTAAAATAACTGTTTAGAACATTATTCTTCTGTAAACAAAAAATTATTTTTTGTCTCAATTTTACCTGTAAAAACACACGAACACATTATTTCTCTAATATTCTCTTAAACACCATAAATATATACATATAAGTAAATATAGCTTACAATTTGTTTTAAAAGTTGAGTGCTAGAAATTATAAAAAACTATGAAAATTATTTTGTTGTTACAAAATAATGCATAAATAACACAACATTCTACATATCTTGTCCAGGATTAAAAAATTACTATATAAAGTACCTCGTTGCCATTATTTGTTAATAATATTTTTAAAAACTAATTTGTTAAAATATCTTTAACCTTATGTGTTATTTCAAAAGATTGATATGACCAACTAATTTATTAATCTACTTAATTTGAACATAAAAAAATTTATAAAAATTATAAAATCTGATTTGGAATATAAAACTTTAAAATTTATTGAGCTTGTGTATTAACTTTGAAAAATAATTAATTTTCTGTTTAAAAATAATTAATTCTCTGAATTAACGCTTCTATAATTTATCTTAATTTGTATAATAATATTCTTAAAAAAATCTTTATTTTTTTTATTCTTTAAATATATACTAAAAGTTTTAACAAGTATAGATTTACGAGTAAATTATCATCATGAAATAAAGAGATTTTTTATTGCAGTCCATATTGCGAGTTTTGTTCCATGACGAATTATTCCCGGAATATGTTAATAACATACTAAAGACGTTACTCGGCTGCAACCTGAGTTTTTACCAAGCGGAGTTGTGCGCCAATAATTTCTTATTTATCCCTTTCGGTTACAACCCCGAGCAGCTAAATTTAGTGAGTAATAATTCTTCTGCAAATTATAATAATAATTTAAGAAGACTCTAATATACTTTCTTATATTAGAGTCTTCTTAAACAAAATTGGATGTGAAAATGGCTAATAAGAATTGATGCATATATTAAACACGACAAACTTGTCTTTATATTTTTCTCTAATTATTTTACACCAAAAAACTATTCTATTTTTATTTTTCTTTATTTGCTTTGTAATTCTTTTTTAAATATTATGTATTAAGGCGATGCTGACCATGATGTTTTACCGATTTTGAGTTCAAGTGCTTATTTTTTTTTATTGGCTATTATACAGATTGAAAAATTTTTTTCCACGGGGAGTAGTGTAATTTCGTATAAAAAAACAATAACAATAAATTTAAAAATTACAGTTTTTTTATAGGCCTCTTGCATCAGCTCATAACAATACTTATTTAATACAAAAATGCTGCAGTTTATTTATGCACAAAATATGGCGCTCCCAATAGAGATGAAATGAAAGAATAATACAGAAGTAATAAAAATGAGATTAAAAGCATGTATCAAAAGCATGTAGCAAAAAATTCGTACTTGAATTAATTATGTATGTATATTTGCGTGCGAAATTGATGTCGAGGCATAAAACAGCAAAACTTAGTTGCCGGACAGCGCTTCCCATTTATTATTATCAGTACTTTCATTGTGGAGAATTTTTCAATCTGTATATTCAATAAAAAGTGAACGATCTATATAACCTAATTTAAAGTCGATAAAACAGTACAATGGTAGCATCCCCTTAATATAACTGAAGAAGACTTTAAAAATTATTTATTTATTGTATAAAATAATATAAAATTATATTTAAAAATTAGAATATATTATAAATTTAAAATTTAATATTAGAGAAAAAGAAAAAAGGAAAGGAAAATTTAAATATTATTATTTAATTATATTATATAAAATAATTAGAGATGAGTGTACACAGACAAGTTTGTCGCGCATAATATATGCGCCTGATTTTTATTTATTCTTTTTATACCTATAATCTTCCGTAGAATATCGCGATGCAAGAATGATCCTTACGTTTCAGGATCGCGCAATTACACTTCACATTGAATCTTGTATTTACATACATATTTGTATGTATGTATATGTATATATGTGTATATTTGTAGTAAATATTCATATGTGTTTTTAATCCCTATTTAGACTAATCTGCCCTTTATTGTGAGTCATATGCCCGTCACCACCTCGCTTAAGACTGTGGTGCACATCGCTCAGATAATCCAATCGGGTACGGCTCGTGAATATGACTACGGTGCCACGAAAAATCTCTTGATATATAAATCAGTGGAACCTCCAGAGTACGATCTATCGAAAGTCGCGGTACCGATAGCGTTATACTACGGCAAAAACGACTTGTTTGTGGATCCTATTGTAAGTAAATTGAAAAAAGTATTTATATTTATTTGATAAATAGTGTAGAAATTATTAGATTTTATAGTATAGAGATTGTGACTTGACTTTGTATATACAAGGTGTCCGGTAACTAACGGACCAACGATCACAAATGGATTCTTTGATCAATTTGGGAACGATTTTTCCTCAACGAAAATGTCGAAAAAGGTCATCATTTTTTACAACTTTCCAATATTTGTCATTATGTATCTTTATAACTAAGCCTCACATTAAAATCCCTGAAATCTCTACCTGAAATTAACTGAAGAATGTAATTATGTTAGACTTTTAACTCCAAAACGTTTAGTTTTCAAAAAATCCATTTTTTTCAATCGCTTATAACTCGAAAATTATTGACTTCTCAACATTTTTGCTAAGGAAAAATCGTCTCCAAATTGGCCAGAGAATCCGCCCTTAATCATTGGTCCGTTAGTTACCGGACACCCTGTATGTAGATAAAATTTCGTATTTTCACAACCGGAAATATAGCTTAAAAGAAATTACCGTGCATAATTCAAAAATGGTTTTTTCAAGGATGTGAAGAGGTTGTACAATGCACTGCCCAACGTGATAGATATTTACGAATTGCCCAATTTTAATCATCTGGACTTTATATTTGCGAAAGATGCGCCAAAGCTTTTGTACGAAAGAGTTTTGAAATTCATGAAAGGGAAATATTCAAACAATGTAACAACGATATGATAATAAAATACATTGATGATCTGTATATTGCACGCTAAATTCCAGTAATGAACACGATTGATGTCACTTGCATTAATTTCAATTAAACAAGCTTATAATATAATTTAGCATTGTTTAAAATTTGTACTTCCGAACTAACAATAACAATTTCTTAATTTCTCAATAGCCGGTATTAATCGATAAATATTTATTGCTTACATAAACAAATTATAAATAAAAAAAATTAAATAATTTAATTCTGTGATTTAGAATACTCAAAAATATCGTTCGCTAGTTGTCTTTTTATATTATATTATTATAATTTTAGCAATTTATAAATGTTTTATACATATATTGAATTATATATTATAGATATATTGAATTACATAATTATTATATCTTCATATAATATATGAAAATTAACTAACGTAGACTATTGAATCACTGAACGTGGTTAATAACGCAGAGAGAGGGTGCATTCTCTCTTTCTATCAATATATAATTAATTTTTTCTATTGGCATAATATTACACGTCATCGATGCAGCATTAATAAATAGAGGACAGAATGTTAATGCGCTCAGTCGTCATTATTCATTTCGCTTACTTATTTTCTGCCTCTCTTCGATAATAGATATTCCGATATTCCAAAAAACTCTCTCGAGTTTCCGTTTTCATTCACTGTTTAGCATTGTTAATTATGGATGAAATAAGATTGATAGGGTTTATATGTTTGCTGTCGTTTTACGGTTGTCTTGATGGAGATGCGACCACCGAGCCAAACGAGCCCGTGGAAAGAATAATTCAATCTAGAAGGAACAACGCTGAGCACAATTCTAATTCAATTCTCAGCACTGTAAGTACACACTTTTAACTAATTAAAATGAGGATTAAAGTTTTTATTAAATAATGATTGAAATGATTTGGTATGATGTATCAATCCGCCAGTATAAATGTAAACCACAATTAAGTATTAACAAAGATGCAATTTAATTTGACCAAAAACTGGCTATTCATTTATTGAAAATAAGTACACACTACGTTTCAACCCATATTGTGGTCCTTTTCAAGTGCTAGTTCTATTTTTAATTAATGTAATTGCTGAATAAGAACAAGTATGTATTACAGATCAAATTTAGTGTTAATGTAATGTTAATTTTGCTTGCCAAATTATGTATTTTTGTTTTCTAGCACTTGAAAAGGACCACAATGTGGGTCGAAACGTAGTGTGTACTTATTTTCAATAAATGAATAGCCAGTTTTTGGTCAAATTAAATTGCATCTTATTATTTGTTAAAATTTTATCACTAGCAATCAACAATTAATTGGGACAATTAAGTATGTATGTAATCATAAAAAACGACTAATACTGGACAAATAATTTCTTTATTGAAATCAAATTAACATGACGTTTCGACCTGTGGTTTAGATCATTTTCAAATGCAGTAATAATTGAGATGACATAACAAGTACAGCGATGAGAAAAAACTTATAACATGTATCACAAATATAAAAATATAAAAATATATCAAATTAAACGTGTCTAAAAAGACGTCTCGTCAATACAGAGTGTGTCCAAATAATTTATTATTTTTATTTGGACACGTTCTGTATTGATGAGACGTCTTTTTTTAGAATCGATTTAAAAAATACATTAAAAATTACTATGATTCTATTTTAAAAATTCAAGATTATTTTACCTGGACTTTGTAATACTATCCAAAGTCCAAATAATGAGATCAGTAAATAAATGTTTTCAAACTACAATTTTTATCTAAAACATTTTTTTATAAAGCTTATTTTTTTCAAGACCGAAGTCTCGATTTTTATGAACGATGAATTAAACTATTTTAAAAATTCAAGATTATTTTACCTGGACTTAGTAATACTATCCAAAGTCCAAATGATGAGATCAGTAAATAAATGTTTTTGAACTACAATTTTTATCTGAAACATTTTTTTATAAAACATTTTTTTCAAGACCAAAGTCTCGATCTTTATGAACGATGAATTGAACACTTTGTACGTAATGATTGCATGCAACTGCTATATAATAGCTACTTACACATTCAATGTTATAGTGTTGCTTATCACAATTGATTCCTTTCGTTAACTTCTTTATGAGAATATACTACTATATTAACTTCTTTATGTAATACTACATTAATTTCTTTATGAGATATATGTATATTTTTCGTGAGGAATAATATACATATATACAGGATGATTCAGAAGTACGAGTGTAAAAACTTTGAAAGATTGTTTGTAAGATCATTCTAAGTATATATAATTTTATAATAAACATATATAGATCCTATCTTTAATATTGTAAGAAGTATAGAAGTTTCAAAATTTTGTTACACTACGAGTAAGTCACGTGATTCGCAGAAAGTGACCTTAAGAAATCAAAATAAAACATCATTTATTTAATAATTAATTTGATCAATAAATATTCAAAATGTGTTCTCTAAGCTTGAATACAGGCATTGCAAACACAAATCAAAGAACCATATACACGATACATTATTTTGTCATGCGAATTTCATTTGCTTCAATAGTCTTTAAATGCATACTTCCACTGATACATTGTTTCCTTATTTTTACAGCCTGTTTTTCAATAAAGCAAAGTTCAGTTTTCATACTTGGATATTGGTTTGCTGTTTATCTTTCATATAGGTTATTAGATAAGTTTTCTTAATTATTATACGTCATACGCAGTTTCTCTTTCATATATCATTTATTGTAGTCTATTTAATGATTAAAAATTTAGTGATTAAAAATTAATAAATAATTATATGTGTATTTTAATTATAGAATAATCATTAAAATTATTTCAGTTACGAAGATATATGTAAGAGAGAGATATGGACAACAATAAAAATAATCCTCTACAATTTCTTTCTAAAATAATTTTAATTGAGTTTTACACTTTACTTTGCAAAAATACTTTAATTATCCTATAATCTTTAAATATTATAACTATATGCTTAATTAGATAGCATTAATGTATATATTTCATATATTTTAGATTTTATAATAATTCATTATTATTATTACCAAATAATTATTCTTTATATTTATTATATATTATATTTTATATTTATATTGTTACTGCAAAACGCTACATTATTATGAAAATAAATATTATGCTCTCATTTTATTTTGTCTTTTAGCCAGAGATAATAAAAAGAACAGGTTATCCCATCGAAACTCACGTTGTAACAACAGAAGATGGCTATCTTTTGGCGTTTCATCGTATAATCTCTAAAAACTCACCTTTAAAAAAAGGTAAAAAAAGGCGACCAGTTAAGGGCACGCCATTAACAAAAATTATCCATTGCAAACCCATGTAGAATCCTATCCTATTGCAAACCCATGTAGAATCCTATGAAAAATTAATCATTGCAAACCCATGTAGAATCCTAGGCAAAATTAACCATTGCAAACCCATGTAGAATCGTACCCATTGCAAACCTATGTAGAATCCTATGAAAAATTAACCATTGCAAACTCATGTAGAATCCTATGAAAAATTAACCATTGCAAACCCATGTAGAATTGTATTAAAAATTATCCATTGCAAACTTATGTAGAATCCTACATTGCAAACCCATGTACAATAGAATTGTATGAAAAATTATCGATTATAAACCCATGTACAATCGTAACAAAAGTAATGAAATAAAAAAAAATTGCGCCAAGTGAAAGTAGAAACTTGTACCAGTGGAAAATTAAAGTTGCAGACATATATAGAGTCGTATAATGAATCAGTAAAAATTTAAATTTGCAAATGTAGAATCGTACCATAAAAAAACTTATCTTTTAAAAAAAAAGATAAACAAGATGCCAAGTCCATGCGCCATGTGAAAAAGAAATAAAAAATTTTAGTTAAAAAAACTGGGCGCGCTGCTAAGTTTCAAAATTACAATGCACCTTAAAGTAACATTAATTAATTTAAACACAAAACATATTTTAACTGTAATGAGTTTAAAAGTAACAATTTAATTTTAATATTGTTAGAATATTATTTAGCAGCGCTCCCAGTTTTTTTAACTAAAATTTTTTTATTTCTTTTTCACATGGCGCATGGACTTGGCATCTTGTTTATCTTTTTTTTTAAAAGATAAGTTTTTTTATGGTACGATTCTACATTTGCAAATTTAAATTTTTACTGATTCATTATACGACTCTATATATGTCTGCAACTTTAATTTTCCACTGGTACAAGTTTCTACTTTCACTTGGCGCAATTTTTTTTTTATTTCATTACTTTTGTTACGATTGTACATGGGTTTATAATCGATAATTTTTCATACAATTCTATTGTACATGGGTTTGCAATGTAGGATTCTACATAAGTTTGCAATGGATAATTTTTAATACAATTCTACATGGGTTTGCAATGGTTAATTTTTCATAGGATTCTACATGAGTTTGCAATGGTTAATTTTTCATAGGATTCTACATAGGTTTGCAATGGGTACGATTCTACATGGGTTTGCAATGGTTAATTTTGCCTAGGATTCTACATGGTTTGCAATGATTAATTTTTCATAGGATTCTACATGGGTTTGCAATAGGATAGGATTCTACATGGGTTTGCAATGGATAATTTTTGTTAATGGCGTGCCCTTAACTGGTCGCCTTTTTTTACCTTTTTTTAAAGGTGAGTTTTTAGAGATTATATCATTCATTTTTGTATATTTTTATGACCGGAATAGAACAATTATTAAACATGTTTATCTAAACTTCTTTGCTTAAAATGATGTGTACAATCATATCCTAGAATCCTGATCATTCCTCCTAAAGCACCCTATTTATATAAATTTACCCATATGTGTGTGTGTGTGTGTGTGTGTGTGTGTACTAATGTCGAGCATTTTTTATACATTTTCTATTAAATTTAGATAAAAGTTGCAGGATTTCGAAAAAGAAAAAGTTGACACAGACTTTTTCCTAAACGGCGATTTTCAAGGTTATTTAAAGGTCACTTATATTTTCAAAATAGAATTACCTTAATTTTTCTCATATAAATCGATTCCTCGCAATATTTACTATAAAAAGTTGTAAAGGTATAATTTTTACATAATCTTACATAAACTTCGAAATATTACAAATATTTTATTTTATGAAATATTTCAGTTTATGTAAAAATTAACTATCTTTTAAATTATTCACTTTTAGCCATCTTACCCTTACAACCTTTTATAGTGAATATTGCAACAAATTGGTTTATATATATAATATATATATAACATCAGTTATTATTAATTGATGTTTACATTTATTTTTAGACTTACTAGAGCTCAAATGCTCCACATTTTTTGCAAAAACTGTTTATTCTACAGATTTCAAATATGCTTTTAAATGATGATTGAATATTTCCTTTTTTTAATTATTTTTATTATTATTTTTCAATCTCAATCAACTTTTATAACTTTATGCCAGCACGATACAAATACATGTGTCTTTATTTTTTTTATTATTTTCATTATTATTTTTCAATCTCAATCAACTTCTATAACCTTATGCCAGCAGGATACAAATACATGTATGTCTTTATTATTGTATCAACTCTTGTCTTTTCCATGTAACCATGTCTTCATAGTTTGAATTATCCCTTCATCTTCTCAATCTTTCGCAGAGATTTAATTAATTAAATACACTTCACACGAAATAAAGTTTGCTGGAAGATATACAGCAAACGATAACTGTAAAAACATGATTACGTGGAAAGAACAAGAGTTGGTACAGTAAAGGCAAGTAAGTAAGTACATGTAATGTATCGTATTGGCATAACGCTATATCCGCGGAGCAGATAATGTGGCTGTAGAGGTAGTCTGCAGTGCAGCTAATGTGGACGTAGATGTTGATTGAGATAATTGTCTAATATAAAATAGAATTTAAAAATTTAGTTTAAAAAGCTGTTGCATATATAAATAAAGTTTATTTTTTCTAAATTTGGAATATGTTTAATTAATTAATTTTTTAAGTCTATGTTTAATAAATTTTTTAAGTCTGTATTCAATAATTTTATTCATTTGATAAATACATGTATGTCTTTATTTTGATATGTTTAATATAATTAGAAATTCATTATTAATTAGATATGTAAACTATAAATTCATATATAATATTTGAAAATATATGTGAATATTTAAATTTTTATCTTCTCCTTCCTCTCCTTCAATCTCTTTAATATCAATATGTGTATGTGTGTACACGCGCGCACATTTGTACGTATTTATTTAATTATTGGATAGTTGAGAGTACTTAATTGATAAAAAATTATGACAATAATAATCCTTGTTTTTTTTCTTATTATTTACTCAGATTTTTTTGTCTATCTTATAAGATAAACACTTTAGAGATTGAATATTTCAAGTAAACTAATTGTAAGTAAATTTCACATTAATGCATATAGATGTTTAATCATGAATGTACTAAATAAGTACACAAGACGAACAGTGAGTGAGTGAGTGAGAATGAGAGAGAGTGTGTGTGTGTGCGTGTGTGTGTGAGAGAGAGAGAGAGAGAGAGAGAGAGAGAGAGAGAGAGAGTTAGCCAACATAACCCCGCACGCTGCCGATCATGAATGTACTAAATAAGTACACAAGACGAACAGTGAGTGAGTGAGTGAGAATGAGAGAGTGTGTGTGTGTGCGTGTGTGTGTGAGAAAAGAGAGAGAGAGAGAGAGAGAGAGAGAGAGAGAGAGAGAGAGAGAGAGAGAGAGAGAGAGAGAGAGAGAGAGAGAGAGTTAGCCAACATAACCCCGCACGCTGCCGATATGGCGGAGCGCCACTATCGCCATCTGTTGTAAAACGTGCGAGATGGACAAAATTACCACTACATGCATCTTGCATGTGTTGTGTACGTGTGATATATGTGTGCGCATGTGTTGTATACGTGTGAATACGTGTAGCACGATACTACTATGTATGCGTGGTCGATGATGATAATGATGATGATAATGATGATGATAATGATGACGGGGACGTTTCTTAATAGAAATTTTTCATATTTCGACTTTGCATTTATATATCTCTGCTTACAAATCACGTAGAGCAGAAATAAAGACACTTTTATTATATAATTCGAACTCAATCTATCGATTAAGTCTAGTATAAACTCGATTGCTTCAGCCATTATTGAGGATTCGAAATATTATAAAGACTCAAATGTCCGACTCGCGTTAAGATACACGGTGTCTCCGCTACGCCCTTAACTGGTCGCGAGACACTACCGTGTCTCTTGATATGTATATATGAGGCTAATATATATTATATAAATATCGCTCTCTCTCTCTCTCTCTCTCTCTGTCTCTCTCTTTTGTTTTATAGATTGCATACAATTTATCTTACATTTACAGTAAAAGTAATTTTTATAACAATTTACAGGTATATGCGAACAAATAAAATTCGTTAGAATCACAATGTCTATCAATATATATTTCAGTAAAATCATTACTCGAATTACTTCGATGTATGAAAAATAAGATTTAGTTTTTATAAATTATAAATGCATATACTTATTATCTATAAAAATCATGTGAATATTATTGTATTATACAAATATAATTAAAATAAAATTGTATGTCATTATATATTTCATGTGTTTGATAATATAAATAACACAAAATTTTTTCTGTTTTATATATAGTTTTTTATAGAAAAAAATTGATGTATTATTAATATTATCAAACATAAAATATATAATGGCATACATTGGCTACACTAATTCAGAGGTTATCTTTTTCCTTCCAATGTCGAACAAAAAAGACAACCTCTGAACTAATGTGGCCAGTGTAGCCAAAACGAACAGACCTTATAAAAAACAGAAAGAAAGAGCGAGAGAAAGAGAGAGAGAGAGAGAAACACGTTGCAGCTCCATCTATCACGATATCACGCAACTAATCTACTGCTCTGTTTTATTCCGCAGCCTCGATTTGCACACACACATATGCGTGAAATGTTTTTTTATATATAACTTTTTTATTAGACTTGCAATCTCACTTTTAATTGCTTACTAATATTTCTTCATATAATCCTTACCGCGCATACTATATTTCATGCACAGACAAACTGCAAAACTTTTTTTATTAAATAAGTATTATTACGAACTGACACAAAGCAGCCGATAACAAAACTGTAATTTTTGATTTTTATATGATTTATATATGCAAACATAGCTAGCGCGGTCCGTTTTTATAAGTACTTTAATCGTGGAAAAGGATTTATTGATCAGTATAGTCAATAAAAAGTTATATGAAAAAAATAAATATTCTCGCATTCGGTCGGTAAAAACATCATTTAGGATCCCCTTAAGTATCATTTTCCGTTTTTGATACAAAATGTACTAATAAAGTGTTAATTTACCAGCATCAAAATTTCGAGGAATGTTACATTCGGTCGATTTAGTTACAACCTCGGTTGGTATATTTTGAACTAAGTTTCCATCTAGAAAAATAGTAAAATTAATTATTATATAGAAACTCAAAATATATTTTTAGAGAAAATAAATGCTTACCACTTGATATAAGAGGGCTTGTGGGAGGATAACTATTAATATCTGATTCATACTGTGACAAATCAGAAGAGTCATTGTCAGACAAATACTTCGTCGATTTGTTTCTTTTCCCTTTTGGTTTACTATGTTGTTTCCTACATTTATCATTTTGCGACGAAAGATCAGACGTATATTTAGCCTTATTTGCTTTCCGTTGAGCAACAGATAGATCTTCTAAAAATAAGATTTGAAGACTTTTATGACTGTGCATAAATAAAGTATTATTATAATAAATCGCTGTCTCTATTTGTAAATTGTTTAATTAGTTGCAAAATAGTTTCTTAATTTTTCATTTATTAATTCTTTTATTTTATTAATTTATTTTATTTCAATAAAAAAGATAGTTTAGTTATATAAGTAAAAAATATATAAAATACTCATCTTACCATAGCTACCTAAAATGTCAACTTTATGAAGATTCCAATCAGATTCTGGCGTTTTCTTGAATTTTATAAATTCATTAATTTTCCTTGAAGTCCAATGCGATGAGGGCCAATTGCATTCTTTTGTATTTTTTAAGTACCAAGATTTTGGTATTGCTTCAACCGTATCTTCATTTGCAAACTTAACGACGTACCAACCCATTTGCAAGTAAAGTTAATATACGTTATATGTTAAAATTTTTTATATTGCTTGAGTAAAGAAAATAATTCTATAACATAAAGTTACAAAACATAATAAATATATTACATAAAAACATAAATTTACTAGACAACATAAATATTGCATATTATTTGATAAAGTTTCACTTTAATATAAACTAGAAAGTTTATTTTTATCTTAAAAATGTATATTTACTAATATAAGTTTATTAAAAATAATTATTTTCAAAACGCAGTTAAGTAAAACTACGATTTAAATCACTTAATTCAAATGAAGCTAATTCTAGCATTTCGATTTATAAATGCAGCATTGGAAATGAAACATATTGATTATTGTAAATAAGAACTACTAATTTTTTATTGATGTGTGTAATAGGCCACATTTTGAGTGAACTGTCGATTTTTCGAATATATTGTATATCAAAAAAAGATGACGAACATGGTTTAGTAAAAAAGTCTTTATGTCTTCTATATTCGTATCCTAATAATATTTCAAAATTCTTATAGCAACAAAAATTTTTTACTTCAACGATAGTTTTATCTTTAAGTTCAATAAACCTATCAGCCTCTTTTGAAACATGTATACAATAATTAATAGTTTTATATTTTTTATACTGAGGTGAAGTACAACCCTCGATTAAAGGACCTCCATTGTGTTCTATAGAGTATTTTTTAGAAGTATTAATTGATTCAAATTCCGTAACATTTTTTTCTTCGATAATTCGACGTACAACTTGTTCCAACGCGTGAGAAGATTTTTGAATTTTTTTTTTCAAACATTGCATATAATTTTCGAATATAAAGGCACTAAAATTATCGAGTGAACCAAATAATCTAACACAATCACTCAAATGCAAAAAGTTATGAATATTATGCGAAATAAAATTTGGCCCATATAGTTTTTGCGAATTTTTGATAAAATGTTTAAATAGATTATGAGCATATGAAATATAATTTTCATAGGAAGAATAATATTGATTGATCAATATTGAACTAGCTAAACTAAGTACAATAAAATTATTATACATCGTGGAAGATATAATATCTTTTAAGATTATTGGGCCAGTATAAAGCAAAAGTAATCGAAATTCAGTTGCTTTGTATCTTTTGCATTCAGTAATAGGGCGAGTTTTTCGAGAAAACTCACACGGAATATGACTCCTCAATCTTAAAAGACGTTCAGAAATTTTACTAACATCACGAGCACGTAACTTATATGGAGGTCTACCATAAATCCATCCATACTTTTTGTTACAAAAAAAATTTTTTGTACCGCCAAGTAAAAGACAATGCATATAGTCTATAGGAACGTTATCAATAATATTAAAATTTGGAATCTTTAAGAAAATACTAGTGCCAATGTGATGTTCAGGTTGAATTTTATTTCGAAATGAATAATCTGATCTTTTTCGGAGATTTTCAAAATCGACAAAACACAGTACTTTATCAATCATGTCTCCTTCTATATCACATTTGGTGCACGAAAAATAACCCGAATGTCCTTTAATAGCTAAAATGTGTGATTTTGCAGGTGTATCGCAAATCAACATTGACAACTTGAAATAGCATCTTATAGAATTGATGTATATTCCATTTTTTGATAATTCTATACATTCGTTTACAAAATCAGTACAAAACTCACTTACATTGGGTTTTACAGTGCCATGATACAAAGCTACTAAAAAAACTTTATTTTTAATTTTGTCAATTGATTTGACAGTACATAATATTGGCCAAAAAGAGCTATTCGTACTTTTAGATAGAGGTAGACCGTCAATATTTGCTGCTAGTAAAATTTCTTCATTGTGTTCAATTCTTACATTTTGTTTATTACATAAGTTATTTAAAGTTTCATTTATTCCAAAATAATAGTATAATCCTGATCCTAGTTTTTTTCCATGTGTATTATTTGGCGTTTTTAAAAGTGTTCTCGCATCTTTGGGTAAATAATTATAGCCGGCTTCTTCTCGTAAAATGTTTAACAAATTATTAAGGGTTGAGTGAGTTACATTTTCATAAATGGCCCATTTTTTTAACTTTGACTCAAAAACATGCTCTTTATTTTCAACTATAATATAACAGCATGATTAGTGTTTGATATGTCGACACTCTGAACGTTATCACAATTAAAATTTCTTGTATTAATAAATACATCAATATCATTATTATTATTTAGGTTATTATTATTATTATTATTATTATTATAAGAAATATTGTCAATATTAGTATCAGGTTTGCTACTTGAGCTACTTTCAAAAATATTTGGTGTATTAGATTGTGAGTTATTAGTTTCTATTTCAAAAGTATCAGGGTTAAGAATATTGATTATAGTTAAAGATTGATTTAATCTCTTTCGAAGTTGTCTAGAAAATTTACTTTTTTTATTAATATTATCCATAACTAATTTTAAATACTATTCAAATATTTTGTAAATTTACTTGCAAATGTAACAAAAACTTTTAATAATTCTGTAAAAAATTAATATTGGCTATTAATAATGTAAAAAGATGAAATGTGAAAATCTAACAGATAATGTTGTTCAATACGCATAACAAAATATTTATTTAAATAAAGTAAAAATATATTTAAATCAATAAAATATGCTATCTACAATTAAGTAGGTACTTTATCAATTTAAATATATTTTTGCTTTATTTAAATAAATATTTTGTTGTGCGTATTGAACTAAATTATCTGTTAGATTGACTATTTTTTTTTACAGTGTACTATTTGCGAAAAATTATATAACAGTAGTATTAAAATTAGATCCATAACTTTTGTGATGTGCTCCGGTAAATTTTAATACTTTTTAAAAAACTAGGGTGTATATTTATTCCAAAACAAATGAAAACATCATTTAAACATGTACAAATAATACAAATGTTTATACATATAATTATGAACCTATGACATATGATAAAATTATGTAGGAATGTAATTGCTGAAGAAAAAAATTTCAAAAATACACAAAAAAAATTCAAGAAAACAAACAATTTCATGACATAATAAAGTTATATACTGTAAATTTTTAATAGAAGTTTTATATAGAAATAGTATAAAACCTAGTTTAAATATGTTAATTGTTTAAAGGGGATCAATACTGTAACGGCTTAAAAAGTAGCCCTTTTTGCGAATTTTTTGTAACATCCATAAAGCAGATAGATAAATAATGTTTTTGCATTGAATTGTTATTCTTTGAATTATTAAAAAATATTTTTTATTTGATTAAATACATTTTTATTTTAATATAAATGTGTCTGTAGTAAACTCTGCATTATTTATCGGTTTTATTGCACCTGGGATCCTTAAAAGTCATTTGAAATTAAAAAACCCAAAATTTTTTTAAGTATTATATATAAATGTAGTTTCAGTTTAGCGTACAGATTTCTTTTTACAATTAAAATTTCCTATTTTTATGATTTGTACGAAAACGGTTTTTTTTTTTTGAAAAATTTTGAAATTTTTTTAAAAAATGCGCCATTTTACGAATAATGAAGACATTAAAATTTCTGTACGCTTAACTGAAACTAATACATTTATATATTTCAAAAAAATCTTGACTTTTTAAATTTCAGATGACTTTTAAGGACTCCACGTGCAAGGTCGATAGATAACACAGAGTCTACTACAATACATTTTATATTAAAATAAAAATGTATTTAACTAAATAAAAAAATATTTTTTAATAGTTCAAAGAACAATAAATTCAATGCAAAAACATTTATTTAACTACCTGCTTTATGGGCATCTCAAAAAATTCGCAAAAAAGAGCTACTTTTTTTTAGCCATCACAGCGTTGATCCCCCTTAAAGACTACTGTGACCGACCGGAAAAATAGATAATTTTTAAGCATGGATTACGAAGAAATATAAAAAAAACTATAAACTTGTAATTTAATACTTTATTTAAGTACACGATAAAAAATTTGTTGAAATTTTGGTTTGATTTTTAGCATAAAAATTGTTAATTAATTTGTTAATATTTTGCAAACTAACAATGATATTGAAAAAATCCTATGTCAATGTTTAAAGAAAGGTTAATAAAAAAAAAACTTTAAGTCGATCCAATGAGTACATACCGAAAAATCTTCGACACTAGTGAAAAAAATTAGTTTTTTTTAACATTTAATAAATGATATTAAAAATATTATTTACGTTTTATTTTTACATGCTTTTATACTCCTCGCATACTTAAATAAAGTACTTAATTACAAGTTTATAGCCTTTTTTATTTCTTAGTAACTCACGCTTAAAAATTATTTATTTTTTCGACCGGTCAGTACAGTCTAATCACTTAACAAAAGATTTCGAAACATTTGCTATATTTAGAATATACCGCTCTAACATAAGAAACGTACCCACGAAAATAGTGTGATCAATGACGATAGGGAAAAAAATATATTAAAAATATATTTCAAACATTATTAAAAAATTTTTGTAAAAGTGGACATGTATTTTTAATATTATAGATCCTAAAAAATCGAAAAGATACTTTATATATTAAGAGTTATAAGGGCTTGACAAAAATCGCAATAATTTTTAACTTGTAAATTGTTAACATATAAGAGAATATGTTATCATTTTCTTATTAAATAATAACATTGAGTGATTTGTTAAATAATATAGAAATGGGAATTGTTACATATTTTAGCTCCATTTTTTTAATTTAGCAACAAGTTGGCGCGCCTTTGTGTGCAGACCTTTAGTTAGTCGCGCCGACGTCTCGTTACTAAGTTAAGAAAATGGAGCCAAATGCAACAATTCCTATCTCTCTATATTGTTTAACAAATCACTCAATTATTGTCTAATGCCAAAAAAACGCGACAAATATATTGCGACAAGAAATATAACATATAAGATTAATAAATATATAGAAAATTGAAAATAAAAATCTGCGATTTTTTTCTCTCGAATGATTTCTAATTATTATTAAATAAAAAAGAAATTATCAATTTAATTGATACACGATGTTAGATATTCACTGCAGATATTTGATAAATTAAAATAATATGTA